GTATAGTAAGACATAAAAAGTCATAGTATAGCAAGGCATAACAAGTCATTGAATAGCAAGGTATAAAAAAGTCACGTTATAGTAAGATGTGAAAAAGTCATTGTATAGGAAGGTATAAAAAGTCATAGTATAGTAAGGAATAAAAAAGTCATTTTATAAGAAGGTATTAAAAAATTCATGTTATAGTAAGATATAGAATGTCATACTATAGTAAGGCATAAAAAAGTAATTGTATAGCAAGGTATAAAAAAGTCATGGTATAGTAAGATGTGAAAAAGTCATCGTATAGTAAGGTATTAAAAGGTCATAGCATAGTAAAGCATAAAAATTCATAGTATTATCAGGCATATTAAAAGGCATAAAAAAGTCATACTATAGTAAGGCATAAAACTTACTTTTCTCGTTCATTTGGAGAAAAAACAGCACATAGAAGACTACGTGCTTCTACTTTGAAAGGCAGAAATGGCGTCGTCAGCAGGTGATCACCTGTTTTCCGTAAATGGCCAAGTGATACAAGTAGATTTTCGTTCAGACTGGCAGAAAGAGTGTTTCAAAACTCAGTGTGAAAAAATGAAATTTACAAGCATTGAATTTAGATCCACAAATGTTGACAGTTAACCAAATTACAAAAAACATCTCAACTCAGTTTGCCTCTAATCGTATCTATCACAGAACATAATTTTGTTTCTATTTGCTGAGGTCAACACTACTGAGACTTCTACCATCAACCCAAAACTTGTGTTGGAGCTGGAGCGATGTGGAATTTAAAATACAAATCTTTTAATTTAAACCCCTTTGAACCTTGATGTAGATCTGTAAAGTTGAAAACTATTGTTTATCTACGTGAAATATGTCTGCAATAAAAGCTTTCACAATGTTGCTGCTCTAGTGCATGAAGTATGCTACTTTGTTGTATCCCCTCGACAGCACTAGTATTTGTTTATTGGGTCTCACAGTTACCAACTGATCCCAGCAGTATTTCTTTTATTCAGTGTTTTGTCTATAAAATGTCAGAGAATCCTGAAAATGTATATCACCGTTTCCCTAAGCCCAAATTGACTTTCAAGTCTCGCTCTGTCCAACCAACACAAAGAAATGCAGTTTACTATAATATAAAACAAAGAAAAGCAGGAAATCGTCACATTTGAGAACCTAGACCCAGGAAATTTCTGGCACTTTTGGTTGAAAGATGAATTTTCTGTTGATTGACTTATCGCTTTAGCTCTAACTATTATTACTTTCTAGAGACAATATACTGGTTATTATGTATAATGCACAGATGCCAGTATCAATACTTAATTGGGAGCTATTTTCTCAATGATAGTAGGAAATGAAATTAAGTTGAACTGACCATTTAAACTTTTTAAACTCACATCCATATCTGTATACTGCTGTTGCAGCAACTGTTGTCGAACAGACTACTCATTCTGCCTACAATTCCCACAGTCCACCAGGGCTGCAACTATCAATTATAAGCCCGTGTTGATTCCATAAAATTCCCTAAATAGACAGAAAATCTTCACTGAGAAGCTGAAACAAATGTTTTTGCCATTTTTGCTTTTATAAATCGCCTAACTAATCACTTAATTGACTCTGGACAATCTGAGTTTAATTAGGAACCATTACCTACTGAAAATAGAAAATGAAATCGAAATGAATCGACTCACATCTGAAGTTTTCCAACATCCTTGACTGCGTAGTCAGCTGCATCCATAGAAACTGGTTACACAGTCTACTCATTCAGCCTACAGTTCCCACAATGCACCATGTCTACACTTTTTGAAGTATATAGCAGTGAAAACCAGAAATAAAAGAAGCAGGAAGCTCAGAATTACAGACTCAAACCCAAAATCTTTACATTGACCACACGCTTGAGACCTCACGAACCTGTTAATAACTTGAAATGAATTACTCTTTATAAACAAGTATTTGTGATGATACTGAAAAGTTCATTCTTAACGGTAGCTGACAAAACAATCTCACAACATCTACAATACCATGACAACTGAGCAAACTATCTGCTGAGGAAGATCACATGATACGATCAAAAGCTCCAGAACAGGGCCTTTTGGTGAGATTTTTTTTGTGGAGTACCTGTGATGTTCTGTCATGTACATGTGAGATGTGAGGTGCAGCTCATTTTGTCCAAACATCATTTTGGTCACATAGCATCTTTAATACCACCATTATAATAATTAGGATATCAAAAGTATCGAGTATACATACATCATTTGCATTGCGGTACACAAATCTGAGCTGATTTATGTTTTTATATCTTTCATTCGTTGTTCTCAGGATCAACTTTTATTGTCTCGACATTGTGCTGATACATTGAATCGTCCTGAAGAACTTGACGCTATTTCAGGAAGGAGAACATTTAATTGGACATGTATTGTTAAGTAATATAAAAAGTTTTTTGATATTTCCAAATGTAACTTGAATCCTATAGTCTACTACTTTCCAATACCAATAATCAAGAATCTTGATATAAGCCAAACTAGAGTCCATGTCACCAAAATCAAAGTACTTCAGGTAGGTTTCTTCACCTCCTGTGGTCTTGATATTCTGTAGTTTTTCTTCTCTTTTTTTGCAGTAAAGTTCTTGAAGCTGTGGGAACAGTCTCTTGAAGCCATGCCTGTTTTTGTAACAGTCCCAGTAAATGGATTCTCAGGAGTCTGAAGATGTGTGTGTGTGAGTGCGTGTTTTTTTCATGTGTATGTATGTGTGTGTTGGCTGAGGAAAACGAGGGTCAAAATGGTGAAACACCTCTCTTCCTCTCTCCTCCACCACGTTCACGGTCTCAGTCTGTGCTGCCTGTCAGACGCTGGTGATGGAGGCCAGGCAGTTCGATGACTTCTGGAGTTTCTCAGGCTGTGTGGTGGGGGGCTCTGGGATAGCGCGAAAGCTGAATGGCAGTCCCATACTACTGGTGCCAATGTGGCCTGGGCTCAGCGCTGGATTCTGCCGTCTATTGCTTTCCACAATGCTGGATGTGTTGGATGCAAGGCTTTCACGTGTCCTGCACAACAGAAAGTTGAAAAGAAAGTCAAATGTCTACCATGAATTAAAATAACCAATTAATTTTATATTGTGTACAACACAAGTGGTGCTTGGTAAGAAAGAGGAATACCACAGAAACTATTTTAAAGCATATTTTGACTGAGAAAAGAAGCAAATTTAGTAAATGAAATTAATAAACAGAGCAAATTCCTTCCAGGAAAGAGAGAGGCAGTTCAAACATTTTTCATTTATCTTGAAAATATATACAAATACATAGAAAATAGATAATACAAATAGATTAAAGCAAGTGTCTGAATCTAAGCATAAGCTTTAAACCTGGAATAACAAAATTCTTTGCCACTTGGGGGCAGTGGAAACAGTAGAGTAACATTATCATTAATTTGGAGTCATGTTTCTGACCATTAGGTGAATTTAAGTCCAATATATAATCACCCTCTTTTAGTTCTATTTTTGGCCTCTACCAACTCCTGAGGGAAATATCTGTCAGATATTGTGGGGGCTGATGACAGATGTGACTGAGTTGCATTTTGAATAAACTCAGGATAGGTCAGCCTCTGCTGCTATTAAATCCTACAATGTTATGGAAATGTAATAGTAAATAGATTGAATAGTCTTTTAACTGTCAAGTAACTATTGCCGAGGTGCTTTACAAACTGCTGCACTGTGCACATGTTTCACTAAAGTAGCAGAAATAGCTTGCTAGTTCATTTGTTTGTCCAATAAGCAGTTGTTTGCAGCTGTTAATGTGAAGTTGAAACAATTCATCATGTTCATATGAAGTTTACTGTTTTATGCTTCTTATTATCACTGTATTGTTTAAAGTTGTGACAATAGTCTTTTATTGTTATATAGTTATTATTACACTTAATTTCAAAAGTCATTTTTCCATCGGGATAAAAAATGTCACTAGTGTACTTTACTAAACTACTTCACAGGTCATTCAAGTTAGACCAACCAACAGAATCAATGTAATTAATCATTTGTAAATATGCAGATTTAATGTTTTGCATCATGAATCTGGTGGTTATGAATTTTTTTTATAAGACTTTCATCTTTGTAATGAAAGTCGTCAGAATCTGTGTTTCACATTGTGAGGGTGGCCACACATTAATTTCCATATTAACAGTCGTAGGTGTGTGCTTTACCCAAAACCACAACCCAGGATGGAAACTGGTACAATGGTATGTGAGCGTAAAACTGCTGGACACCTCTGATTGAAAACAACATACTGTATGCCTAGACTTGTGATGGATTTTGCTGTGAGAACTATTATTGGACTGCTGTTAAAGCAGGAAGCTGGGGCTGCTTTAGCAAAAGAAGAGTGGACAGGAAACATGGGAAGAGGTGAGGGGTGACATGTAAAAAAGATCCCTGGGTAGAGTTGAACCATGGACATTGTTATTGCATGAAATGCTTCCTTACCACTTGGCTGCCGGGATGCCTTGACTGACCAATTATGTCATAAAACAGCACAATTGGAACAAGCCATATAAAGATGCTCTTAAGATGAGAACCGTAATGACGTCCAGATGTACAATTCTGCCTATTCAGTGTCCACGTCCGGACTGTGTACCCTAAGACCTCAACATACACATAAAGTTAAGACCTGAATTGTACTGTAACTACATAATCCAGCCTCCTATCCTCTGTTCTGATAGATGGGTCAATCATTTCACTTTGGATACATCACCAGCTACAGTGAATACATTTATACATTTATAAGAATGAGAATAAGAATAAGAGCCTCCAGAGTTACCACCATGACACCTTTCCTTTAGCTCTGGGGTGCAAAAAGAGTTTAAAAATTTTGGAATATATTTGGTCCTACTGTGTTCTACTTATGTATCCAAAACAGTTTTATGTAACACACAGTTCATTTTTGCACGTACCTGGGGGAGTTGAATCCACTGTCCACTGTGACACTGCTGCTGTCCATGCTGTCCAAACGGGCAGAGTGGGCCGACTTCTGGCTGCTGCTGTTCTCCGTCTCCTTGGGGCTGAGTAAGGTCAGATTGGTCTCCAGTTTCCGCTGCAGATCATGGTCCTTCTCTCGCTCTAGGAGCCACTGCATGGTTCCCTCCCCACCACCACCGCCGCCTCCACCGTTACCACCCACTTCCCCGTGGTCTTTGTTGTCCTCTGTTGTCGCCAACTCTTTGTGCGAGTCCTCCTCTGCCTCTTCTTCTTCCTCATCATCTGATACATTATAATAGTCAAAGGAGGCGGAGGGGACTGTTGGCTCTAAGCAGCCCTGTAAAACTGCAGGTGACGCTGAGGAAGTGGCTGAATTGGAAGGCTGCTGGGGCTCAGGATTGTCTAGGGCCTCTGTTGATTTGGCATGTGAGGCTTTCCGCAATGTGCCGGACTTGGTGTAGCTGCTGTCCACGTAGCCTGTGGACAAGGCATTGTGTGGAGGTTTGAACAAAGTGTCCTTGCTGAAGATCTCTTTCCTCTTGATCACCATACCGCCTCCTCCCCCTCCGGGATCTACATTGTGTTGGTGTGGCGTCAAACGGGCATTTTGCACCGGCTCTGGCGTCTGGCTTGGTGTCAGTCGCACCGAGCCGTTTTGTCCCTTTGCTGCCGACAAGTCCTCTTTGTACTCCATCGTATGTGGAGAGGTGAGGTGAGGCGTTTGGCGGTCAGCCGGAGAGCCCTTTCGGAGTCCCCCTGATGAGGTTAATGTGTCATATTCTGATTTTGCCTGAGGCGAAGGGGCAGTTAGGATTGTTTCATTTGACGTATTGCACTGGAAGTACTCATCTGTTGAGGGCTTAGGAGAAAGTCCCATTAGCTCATTGTACGTTGGCAAGCTGTCTCTGCTTTTGTTCCTCTCCATCGTACTCCGGATCCTTGACTCGTCCAAACTCCCTTTCCCCAAATCAGGCACATTAAAATCAGAGTGGAACTTAGCAGCAGAGAACATAATCCTTGAGTAGTGGGAGGACTTCTGCGTGGCCCGCAGGGTGCCGTCATCAGTGTAGTAATGACTACGCTCCTCCAGACTGGGTTCAAAGTCTTCTGGCGCACCCAGTGACAGGCCCTTGAGAGAGTTGTCCATGGACCGAGATCGTTCTTTAGCTTGATCGGACCTCTCATGACGCGACTTCCTGTCCTGATTGTGACTGTGACTTCTTTGCACTCTGGACTGGCACGTTCCACGTGATGGCTCTGGGAAGGGCATCTCTGTCCGTCTCTTGGCTAGCTCCCCAGACACGTCCCACTCGGGGGTAACAGGGCAGTACGATTCAGTAATGTTGGGGTTGCTGTGGACCAGGTATGTTGCACCTCCACTTCGCCTGCGCTCCAAGGTGTACATGGCCTCCCGAGGCGAGCGAACTAACGAGTGGCTAAAGAAGCGGTAATCTCTTTCCATGAACACGAGGTCCCAGTTTGAACCCTCAGATGGGTCTCCCCTAGAGGTCCGGGGTTTGCTATGAGAGCGGGACTTACCATGTGGAGCCCTCCGGTGGCCCCTCCCCCTCCTGCTGCGTGCACTGTGCTGGGCTGAAGACCCCGCCTTGTTCTTCTGCGTACGCTCTTCCTCCAGCCTCTTCATCACAGCCGTGTGCCTTGCCACATTCTCCACTGTTAGGTCGGGGTTGATTCGGCGGATGATCTCCATCTCCACCTCGCGGGGAATGGGTGTGGTTGGCACATCCTCGTCACGAAGAGGCCACTCCTCTGGGGGGAACTGGGCTGAGAAGGTGGCCAGCTGCCGCATTTTGTCCTTCTTGAAACTCAGTCTGAAGAGCCTGAGTCCAAACCTTTTGGATTGCTTCTCGCCAGTTCCGTTGCCACCACTTCCTTCTTTCTTTTTGGTCAGAGTGTCAGTTTTATAAGGGAAAGAAGTGATGCTTTTGCTCTTATCGGCTGGATCTTGAGGCGGCGGTTGCTGCTGGACAGGAGGGGAGGTGGGAAGTGGGGGGTAGGGGTATGAAGGTGGTTCTCCTCGGTGCTCCTTGGCTGACGTGCTCGGTGGAGGTTCCCCGCCGTTGTGATCCTTGGGTGGCTTACTTTGATAGGAATCTCCCCTGTGCTCCTTTGGTGACTTACTTTGGAGCGCAGAGGCGTGAAGTCTGGAGGGGTCTTCGCGATAGGAATTGTATGAGTCATTGTGATTCTTGCGAGGAGGCCTCTCTCTCAGGCAGCCAGGTGTAGATGGTGTGACATTGCCAGACTGAGGCGAAGTGCATTGCTGAGGTTGCTGCTGCTGCTGCGGCTGTTGTTGTTGTTGTTGTTGTT